ATCCAGGCCACCCGTCGCCTCTTTGTTACTTCGGAAACATGGCTCGAACAATTTCTCTTCAACGACGTAATCCGATAACAACCGATCTCTTTACCCGTCGGCTTCCCGTGGCTGTCATGCGACCGGCTATTGCAGTTAATAATACAACAGCTTCTTGCCATTTTTTTGTGTTTCTTTTTATCACAGTGTAACTGATTTCAATTGAAAGCCTGCGTGCGCTTGTACCTCTTGCCACGAGTTCCCAGAATCCTTTGCGGTTTTACCCCTGAATGACGTCACATTTTCCGTCTCTATTCCTTTCATCACAGAGTTGAAACAATGTAGAGATGGTAAGTATAAAAATGACAACATTTAACAATTCACTTTAACATTTCCCTCCTGTTTTGTTATTTGTATGCTCCAAATTAGTCCTGTGTAGTATATTCTCAGCCATGCACCAGTTGCTTGACATTTTCAGCGCAGGCGACATTTATACACAGGCTTCTGTCATGTCATTCACCTCCTATTGCAGCAAAACATCACACTTAATTCTTTTAAGCAGTTAACCTGCTTCTCATTGATCTCATACACAGTAAACTACAACTTGCAAGTAAACAACTGGATGTCAACAATCAAACAAGAAGAATCAACATTCTCAAAAATCATATGTCACTACAATCCAACTGTATACAGACATAGGCATTCACACACATCAGTTGATTTTATTGTTTGGTCCATGTTGCTTTCAGCTAACTTCAAAGCTGCAGCCTGGTCAACACTCCTTTTTATGACTCCTATCAACCCCCCAAATCTTCTCACTGTAGGCATCCTGTGGGGGTTAGAGTCAACTGGTGAATTATCTGCATTTACAACACTTCTCCTTTCCTGTTGTCTCTGCAGAAAAAGATTTTTAGAAGGAAATTAGATCAAGCTGTTTTGATCTTCTTGGCTCAAAACCTCAACCAGCTTAGAGAAGTGTTCATGATGTAAATGTAGACAAAACTCTTTTCTGTTTACACCCCTTCTTGCAGAGGACAAAAAGAATGGGTGACGTTGCACAAATTCCATGGTAAATCTCCAACTTGGACTAATCCATTGCCCTTCATACACATGGGTAACTGGCCTACTTCCAGTTTGTTTAACTGTTCAATGTCCTGCAGTGAGTCAGATACTTGGAGTCAGGCCAGCAGGTCTGTCTTACCAGAGCAGTTCACCTTCCCGGCTACTGGTGAATCAACCTTCCATTCAGGTTCAGAGGAGTTAAAAATTTGGCAGTGTTCCAAATACGTTTACTCCTGGATGTGTTGCTAAGGCAACCAAACAAACTGTCTCGCTCTCTGTGGCTATATGGCCACAGTCCAGAAGAATGTGTAGTCAGTGGCATCACAAGCATAACCATTGGTCTCGTTGTTTATGTGAGCGGTTGTGTTCAACTGCCACCAGCAGTTGGTTGAAAACCCATGCGGGTACTGGGTGTGGTTTGCTCTGTCCCAGTGCGCTCCTGTCAACCCACTCAGGGCTAACAGGCTCAAGAAGGTGCACAGCACATTCCTTAGCCATTCTAAGTTGGGTTCTGGATCCATTGGTTTCTTCACCAGGATTGAGACGAGAGGTCCTAGAGATATACTCCCCCCTTTGTACCGCTGGCCTTTTCACCATTACCCAGAGTCGGCCAGGAAGTGTGTTACCTTCTTGCAGTGCACTTGATGTATCCAAGTGTTTATCTCAGCAATCTTCACTGCTGTGGGCGTCGTCAGCAGCACCTTATAGGGACCTTCCCGCCGTGGACTGGGCCAGCACTTCCTCTCCATGGCCTTAATGAGCATCTAATCTCCAGACTTCAGACTCTGCTCCTGCAGAGAAACAGAATCATCTGGCAGATGATTTGTTCTCATGACTTCTTTACTTTTAAACATTTTAAGCATCCAATCTGCTAATGTGTTCTCTCTTCTGCTTTTCTATCATCACTACAGAAGACTAAACCTCTAAATGGTCTACCATATTTAATCCCAAAGCGTCAGACCGTTCTCTGTTGGAGTAATCCTCATGTACATCTTAACTAGTTCTATACAGTCTAACCATGTCCTGCCTTTCTCTTCCATTGTTTTCCTAAGTCTTAGCTTTACTGTGCCATTAGTTCTCTCTACCAACCCTGCACTTTGTGGGTGATATGAACAATGATGTTTTAGTGTTATCCCTAGATGCTGTGCCATTAATCCAATCACTTCATTTACAAAGTGTGGACCATTATTACTATAAATGGTCTCCGGAATCCCGTGTCCCGGATGATATTCTTACATATGGCTTTGGCAACCGAAATGGCAACTGCTTCCCTAGTTGGGACGATTTCTACCCACTTTGAAAAAGCGCACACTATCACAAAACAGTACTTATAGTTATTACAGTTAGACAGCTCTATAAAGTCCATGTGAATAACTTGAAATGGGTGACTGGGTCTGGGGAATTTCCCTCTCTTAGGTCTCAAATTACCCTGAGAATTGTTCTTGCAACATATCATACATGACCTGCAATTTTTTTTTTTTTTTAAAGTATTAAATCCTAGAGTATGAAAATGTTGCTCTACTGCTGCCATCATCCCTCCTGTCGAGACATGGCACGGCCCATGGTTCAAAATCGCAGTAGTCTTATACAAATTCTGAGGCAGTATTGGGTTATTACACAGACAATAAACACCATCCTGCAAGCTCGCTGCTTTTGTGAGCCAAACTGTTTTTCTGCAGTAGGTGAGTGGGCCTGCATGTCTGCCAGTACATCTCGTATAATAGGCAACATCTGTTGGTGTTGCACCGCTAAAATGTGAACACCATGTGCTCCGAAAGCTGCCTCTCTTGTGATCTTATCTGCAAAAGCATTCCCTAATGCAACTGGATCTTTCCCTCACATGTGTGTACACATTTACAAATGGCAATTCTACTGGGCAATATTATTGCTTCCAGCAGATTTTGCAGGAGTTTGGCGTGTTCTACAGGCTTCCCTGTAGAGGCTGTCACATCTCGTCTCACCCACTGCACTGCAAAGAAATGTAATGTAGCAAATGCATATTGGCCATCAGTGTATATTGTCTCTCTGCAGCTTTACACGCTTCCGTTAAAGCTACTATCTCTGCTGCTTAAGCAGATATGAAACATGCTAGTTGTCCTGCACAGATAACTTTCTCACTATCTACTACAGTAAATTAAAAAAAAATGACACTCCTCTTGTGCCACACGGCTCTCGCCATGTGTCAACTCCCCAATGAGACATGTAAAAGAATGTTTTAGGGAGACTGTGCAACAATCTCCAGGGTTTCCCACTTGGAGCAGCTTCACTCCAACCTGTAACCCTGTGTAAAAACATTAGTCAGTAATTAAATGTTTAGCTTGTTTAACTCCCAGCTCCACCCAGAGCCTGTATCCTAGAAGACAAAGTCTTTAGGTTAAAACAACTTCACATTTGCAACCAACTACAACTCATAAGTGTAATAAAGTATTCAGCATCACAGAGACAAGTATCATTGCAGGTTTATTCTAAACTCATTTAACTCCTACTTTTCCCATAATTTGCACCAAATCATTGAACATCTCAACGTCATTCCACGTTATAATCAATATGTGGAATGACGGCTTGTAGGAGAGAGGTGGCCTGTCTGGTGTCATGGTATGAGGACAACAACCTCACCCTCAGCACTGATAAGACAGAGTAACCGAGTCCCAGGCTGAGAGGCTTGGGGCACCCCACCCCCGAAGTGGCCCAAGCGAGCCCCAGGCCCCGATAAGCAGCCACCAAGGAGTGAGTCGGTGTGTACCTGGGCGCCCATCCCCAGACACAAAGAGCCACCAATGCACCGATGTCTGAGGGCATCTACCACTGGCAGGGGAAGTGGTGCGGGGAGATAGGCCTCCTTACCTTTGAGGGCCTGAGATGTCCCCAGAGAGGTGGCGTCTGATACCCAACCTGACATATAGACAAGACATACAGGCACACACAGATGCAAACATCCATTCCCACCCTCATGCTCTCATATGCACTTACTCCACACTCAACCAACGTGGAGACAGACATAAAGAGACGCTG